GTGGCTTTTTAATATGCGGCTTCTTTCATTTAGCATGTTTTTGAGGTTCATCTGTGTTGTAAGTATAATATTTTATTGCCAGATAATATTTCCTTGTATAGCTATGCCACGTGTTATTTGTCCATTCCTCCACTGATGGACATTTAGGTCATTTTCACCTGTTAGCTGTTATGAATAATGCCATTACAGACATTGGTGTGCAAGTTCTTTTTTTTTTTAAGAGATTTTTGCTATAGTGCACATGCACTTACCAGAGAAACAGATAGTGAGAAAGTGAGAAATCAGCCCCCCAGGTGGATGGTCACACCACAATCCCTTCTCCTCCATTTCCCTCTTGGGGCTTTCGGTATGCATGCGTGATTTTCAAGCTGCCAGGACCGGGACTCAGACTGTGGCTGGCTGCATGGGAATCAGCGCCTTAACCACCACGTGAAGTGCTGACCCCACGTTCACCATTTTACATTCTCACCAGAAATATACTAGCATTCCAGTTTCTCTGCTTCCTCATCAACACTGGTTATTGTCTTTTATTTTAGCCTTCCCAGAGCGGGTAGAATAGTATCTCACTGTGCTTTTGTTTGCATTTCCCTAATAACTGAAGACGTTGAGCTTGAGGTGCCAACTTCAGGTCAGTTCTTTCTGTGTCCCCAGCTGCATGCTCGTTTCCCCGGTCTCTCCGGGGTTCCTGTCCTTCTGCCAGGACCTATTGGTCATTTCGGCCTTTAGAAGTTGAGTGATACCTCCGTCGTCGTCATCTTTTTTTTTTTTTTTTAAGAATTATTTATTTTTAAAATTCCATTTGTTATTATTTTTAATTTGATCAGAGGAAGGCAAAGAGAGAGAGAAAGGGAAAACAAGAAAGTGAGCTACCAGGTCCAGGACTGAAACCGCAGCCAGCCATGTGGGAGCCCAGCACCCCGAGCAGGACATTACTTGCTGGCCCCAAATGATATCTTCTTAGTGAGGTGCTTTGGGAGAGACCTTTGGGCAGCTTCTGGTGGCCAGGCAACCTGTGACTAGAATTAAAGACTCTTGTTCTTCCTGTTGTCATGGTCGATGTTACCGTCGAGGCTGGCATAGGCTTTTTAAATTGCTGGGACAATGCCAGCCTCTGCCCTGGACACCTCAATGAGCAGCATCAAGGATTCGCAAGCCAGAAACCATCTTGAGAGGTCATCTCACCCATCCTTTTGCAACAAGATAGTCAGAACCCCTCACCCCTACTCTAGCAGACTGCAGAGTGTCTAATTTATTCCTTTAAAAATCCCTTAGGAAGAAATTCTGCTGGCCCCTTTCCCACCAGTCCGCGTTTTAGCAGACTTCTGTGTTAGAACTCTTTGCTCTGACACAGATCCCACCTTCTGCAGCACATGCCCGTTTTTTCTCATGCTTTACTTCCTGGGAAGATGTGAGAGACAGCTGCTTCCTAGGAGGGGCTTCATTCTCTGGTTAGACAAAACTGCTCTGGCTGGGGTAGTCCTCTAGTGACAAAGTCCAGACCACGCCAGGCCCTTCCAGGAGACTTTGAAGACCGAACGACCTTGTCACTTGGCTATTGCCCATGCAGCCTGCTTTGGAAGAGACCTTCTGACAGGCTCTAGGTTGTGTGTATCCTGAGACCGGGCCATTCCCAACTCGTGTTCAGAGTTTAGAGGTTGGGTCCAGCCAGCCTGGTGGGTGGTGATCAAATGCAGGTGGAGACCATCTGGTGGGGCCTGTCACTCCCCCCAGCCAAGTAAGGGCTGGCCTGCCCACCACAGAGCTGGCCCAGAAAGCACCTCGGGCAGAGGCAGATGGTGTACACGTGCATACGCACGCCTGCACATGTACGTGCACACGTGTACCCAGACCTCCCTTGTGAGGTGCCGTGTGAATGCGCATGACCTAGGGATTCTCTCTGCATCTGAGCATCCTCATTGTGCAGCCTGAGAGAAACATGTTTCTTTTAGTCTGATTCTCAAGATTTTGTGGTTAAAATCATGTATTTTTCTTGGCTTGTGATAAAAGGCCTAGAGTAATGTCTAATACATTTTACAAAGCTGCCTCTAATTGGTGACTGCTTGAAATCTTCCCTTTGCCCTAGTGAACCATCTCCTTTTATAGTTTAACTCCGGTCAAGTCTTGTATTCCCCCCAGGTTTTCACACCCCTCCCACACCTGCGGCCTCAGGCAGGCTGCTCTTCCAGCCTGTTTGCACAGCTAACCTCTTAGCCTCTCCTCCCTGCTCTGAATTGACCCCAAGCAGCCGAAGCAGAAGAAATAACAAAATTTGCATTGCGTTTCTAAGCATCTTCTTCTAGCATAGTCTCCAAAATTTCACATGTGTACCCTCTATATGAATTCTGCTTCCCACCTGCTAGATTCCTAGAGAAAATTCAAACCATGGACACTTCCTTTCAATATAATTGGATTTGGCCATAGTGATATGTGAGGATTCCTTTTCGGCCTGTCAGTGGGTTTAGCCTCTTAGAGATGATCTTTTGCAAAGTGCAGCAGGGCTGGGTTCACCTTGGCATATAAAGCCAAGGCTAGGACTCATGTCAGCTTCTGGGACTTCAGAATCTACCCGTCTAGTCTCCCCATCTAGCCTCTTGCTGGTGATGATGGTGAAGGGGAGATGCCTGTGGACTTCCTGGGTTGGCCACTGACTGCATCAATAGTCCTAAGCATTGTCACCTCTGATGGCTTGTTCCTGGAACGTGGCTCAGCAGAGGAGGTGTTGGCTGTCATCTTAGTTTATGGTTTGTGTTTTTATGCTGAGGCGTTTACATGCATGTAATCATTGTGGCTCATGTTTGTACAAGATATAATTATGGAGAATTATATATGAACATATTTGACTTTCAGCCCTTCCAGTGCTGGGATGGGGAAGGGAGGGCGAACTGTACTTCTCTAGGATTCCAGTGTCTGAAGAGTGCTCGGTGAAAGGTGCTGGCCAAGTAGCAGGTTGTGGGAAGAGCACATGATTGCTGAGGGCAAGTGGGGTGCCAGCTTTCAGGAAGAATACAGGCCTGCCTGGTATCTAGAGTCTGCCTTGGGACCCGTTGACAAATGCTGTTGGAGGTCAGCAGTCCAGCCCGAGGGTTGGAGAAAGGATCTGTCCTCACAGAGTCCTGGCTCTTGGCAGCTCACGGGGCACATGTCCTAAGTCATCGCTTAGTAACAATTTGCAGGAGCATGAATGAGGAAGATTTTCAGTTATGGTGCTCCGTCGTACAGAAAGGAGCCACAGAATTTGGAACTCACACTCAAGCATGCCGGCAGAGGAGTTTAGCTGGCCAAGGACACACATGTGTGCCCATAGCTGGCGAGGCAAGGGGTCTGGCTTCTTACAGGCTTTCGGGATTCTTCCTCCTCCCAACATCCTGGGAGGTTCCTCCGAATAGAGGTTTTAGATGCTGAGGCCACCAAAAAATGAGGGAGGGGGTGTAACTAGACTTTTTAAAAAATAATTTTCTTTATTCATAAGAGTGTGTGCACATGCACATGAGAGAGAGAGAGAGGGCGGAGGAGTGGAGGGTGACGCGCTCCCTCCACAGGGTGTGGGTATGGCCACCCCTTCCTCCAGTCCTCTAGCCCGTTGCATCTGTACTTGCCTGGTGTGTTTCAGCCTGACTGGATGGGGGACTTGAACTGTGGTCACTATATGTGATTTGCCTTTTCTCTCTCTTTTTTGAACTTTGTCCTCAGTTCATGATAGAGCACTTACACACGCATACTAGTGAAGAGAGGGAGCGGGAGGAGGTCAGTGTGCTCCACAGCCCCGTTTCTCCAGTCCTCCAGGGATTCGAACAGTGATTGCCATGTGGGGTCTAGCCTCCCGTGAGCAGTATATCATTGCTACATCATGGAGCTGCCAAGAGTTAGACTTTTTTTAATGGATTTTGCTAGAGTGTGCACTTGCCAGAGAGACCGTGAGAAAGCACCCACGCACCACAATAGGGAATGGTCACGCCACAACCCTTCTCATTCCTACCTCCTGTTAGGATTTTGGGCAAGCATGCACATGCACCTAGGGTGTTTTTTCAAACTACCGGGTCTGCGACTCAAACTAAATAGTAGACCATGTGGAATCCATCTGCCTTAATCAACACCAGTTGGCCCCTGTGTTAAACTTTTAAGATGGTGTTTTCCCAGACCAGTAGGTGGCATAGTGGTTAAGGTTCTGGACTCCCACATGGCCAACCACAGTTGGAGTCTCACGGTGGCTTGAAAATCACCCTGGGGAGACCAGCAGATGGTATAACAGCTATGTTACTGGACTCCCACATTGTCCACTGTGGTTTGAGTCCCAGGCCTGGCAGCTTAAAATTCACGCCAGGCGTATGCGTGTGTGAGTGCCCAAAATCCAGAGAGGAGAATGGAGGAGAAGGGATTGCAGCATGGCCATCCCCCTGGGGGGTGATTTCTTGCTTTCTGTCTCTGTCTCTCTGGCAAGTGCACGTGCCCTATAGCAAAAATCTCTCTAAAAAAGAGAAGAAAATCACAATGGGTCCATGTGTATGTGTACCCAAAATGCCAGGAGGAGAAGGAAAGAGAAGGGATTGTGGTGTGGCCATCTCCACTGGGGGGTAATTTCTCACTTTCTCTCTTACTGGTTTTTTTGTTTGTTTGTTTGTTTTTTTGTTTTTTTTTGAGAGGTTTTGCTATAGGGCACATGTGCTCACCGGAAAGATGGAGAGAGACAGAGAGACAGAAAGCGAGAAATCACCTCCCAGGGGGGATGGCCACGCTGCAGTCCCTTCTCCTCCATCCTCCTCTTGGGATCTTGGGCACACACGCACACACGCCCAATGTGAGTTTAAGCCACCAGGTCTGGGACTCGAACCATGGTCGACTGCATGGGAGTCCAGCAACATAGCCATTACGCTAACTGCTGGTCCCTCTCTTTTACTGTTTCTCACTGGCGAGTGCATGTACCCTATGATAAAAATAAAAAACAAACAGAAAACTACCGTCAGGTAGTTAAACTTTGCACATCTGATTTTTATTTCTTTCAGGTTTACAGGCACAGATGGACCTAGTGGTTTTGGCTTTGAGTTGACATTTCGTCTGAAAAGAGAAACAGGGGAGTCTGCCCCACCAACGTGGCCAGCAGAGCTCATGCAAGGCCTGGCCCGATACGTGTTCCAGTCAGGTAAGAGCCCAGGAGCCGGCTGGTGTGCTGCCCCTTTTGCCATGACCTGGCTGGCTTTGAGGACCACAGGTATATCTTGATGTCTGATCATCTTCCCTGGGAATACTCTGCTGCAGACATGCCCTGAGGGTGGCTGGTTCTACCTGGAGTTTCCTAGGTGGACATCTACCTTGGCTGCTGGGATATGTCACTGTGCCAGAGGCAGCAAGAATATGTTCTGACACCCCTGCCCTTGCCGCCGTCTGCTGCCTGCTCCTGTGGCCTAGGCATCACTGTTTCTGGGTCCATAAGCACATGTGTTCATCTTAGCTAGTTTGGGGTTAGCAGTGGAGGGTGAGGCAGAGAGAGAAAGAATTGCTAGGAGCGCCCTCCCTCACGAGGGGAAGGGGAAGAGTCGCGGTCAGCCTGCCGTATTAACTTTACCTCGTCTTTTTTCCCCCTGAAAGGTCTGGAATCAAGCAGGCCCTTGACAGTCAGAAATACTGTTTGACTCAGATGATTCTCAAGCCCTCTAGGGGGTTGCCCTTTGCCCCTCTCTGAATGCTGATATGGAACCCCATGTGGGGCTTTGTACTGGGAGCTTTGGTCTCGCTCTCTTGATTGAGCCTGCCTGTAGTCTTCCAGTGGGCTGAAATTTTGGAGCAGAATTTAGTGCATTTCATGAGGGTTTTGTATCTGAAAGTTTCCGTGTGGCTAATTGCTCAGAAGCATTTCCCATATGGCCTCAGATTTTCTTTGGTTTTGTAAGGAACCTTGAAATGAAGGGAGTGACACTTTTCTCCTTTTGCTCTTTTTCTTTATTTTTAAAAAATTACCAGTGGGCATGGATATTCCCCAGAGATGGGGGAGAGAGTGCACAGAGGGTGTACAAGCAAGCAAGCACACCCAGTAGGGTGTGATCACACCACAGTCTTTTACTTCTCCAGTCTGTCAGGGTTTGGGGCATGCATGCACATGTGTCCACTGTATTTTTCAAGCCACTGGGGTTAGGATTTGAACCCAGGTCAGCCATGTGGGATCTGGCTCCCTGTGCACAGTGCTTAACCACTGGGACCAGCCCCCAACTCTTTATTTACTCTTTGATGTCAAAGAGTGCATCTAGGCCAGGGTCTCTGAAAGTGTGGTTCTGGAACTGCCTGCATCGGCAGCACCTGGAGAGCCGGTTGCAAATATGTATTCTTGCATCCCATCAAAGACATCTGACTCAGAGTCTTTGGGGATGATGTTCTCAGATGGATCTGGTGGAGACTAAATTTGGAGAACTATGTATTGGGTCATTGGAAAGTCATGATGTATTTTTCCGTGTTTTTCTATGCAAAAGTGTGTTGTGACTTTTTCAATGACCCAACATTTGGTAGCTTCTCTTAAGTACAGTGACATTTTTTGAACCTTGTTCAGGTTATAAATGTGAGCCACAGTCGACCCATCTAGGTTAACCCCTGTGCCCTGGTTCCGTGTGCCTGGGTTAGTTGTTAACAGACAGACGGTCCTGTGAGACAGATCTGTAACTGCCTCTGTCATCACGATCCTGTGGGGTAGTCTCCCCTCGGAGACCGCAGTGTGTCTCCTGGAAGCAAAGGTTCCCAAACCTGGCTGCTGCTGAGCTCCCAGGGTGAGCTTGTCAACACGCTGGTTTCCAGACCTCCCTGCAGGGCTCTGAATTTGGCCGGAGGTGGGATTGGACCATCTGTTTCTCCACCAGCTTCTGAGGGGATTTTTTTTTGTTTGTCAGAGGGCACATGCACTCACCAGAGAGAGACAAAGAAACCAAGAGAGGGAAAGGGAGAGGGAGAAAGCCCCCCAAAAGGGTGTGGTCATGCCGCAATCCCTTCTCCTCCATAGCTCCATCCTGTTGGGATTTGGGGTGTGTACACACATGCTCCCAGTGTGTTTTTCAGGCTGCCTGGGCCAGGATTTGAATCCAGCAGTAAGCTCTGTGGGATCTGACTCCCTTAACCACTAGGCTGGCTCCTGAGGGCTTTTGGATGCAGCTGGTCTGGCCTGGTGTTTGGCTTTAAAAGATTGTTGGAGGAGAGGAAATGACATTCCTAGGGGCAGGAGAAACAAAAGGTGAAGCAGCTAGTCCGTGAATTTGGTACTGTCCCAGCATAGTTTGCAGAATCTTTGAAAACTGGGCCAGGAGTCTACCGCCTGAGTCCCGCACGCCCCCCGCCCCTGTCTGTCCTCTGGCCGTGCCTGATCTGACTCCTTACAGACTCTCAGCAGGGAAATGGACTTTTCTTGGCATGGAATTTGACCTGCTGTAGGAAAGGGAGATCTCGAGACGAGGCTGCCTCTCCTGTGCAGACAGGTGACTTGGCTCTCTGCCCGAGCCAGTCCATGCCAATCTCTACCCACCTGGTAAGCAGAGATCAGAAATATAAAATAGGTATTATGAACCACTGTCAGGTGGGTGACAAGCAGGTAAGCTTCTGAAATTAGTTCTGAAATTATAATGCAAGCCAGTGGGAAAACAGAATTTGATTTGTGAGGTTCCGTTCACTCACACAGTAAACGTCACTAGAACCAATTTGCAACCAATGCGAGCATTGATTCAGGCAGGGATTATCAGTGAGTACTAAACTGCTGGGCGAAAGGTTGTTGGGGAACAAGATACTCACATGAACTCACTCACTCACTTATTAAGAGAAAAATAATGCTCCCCAAGGGAGAAGTTTGGGTGGACATTAATCAAATGATCATACATAGCAATACTAATAATGGGACAAATTATTATGTACATCCTGTGTGTTGTAGTGTGAAACACCAACTCTAGCACTTTTTTTTTAAAGAATTATTTAACTTTATTTATTTATTTGTTCATTTTAATTTAACCAGAGAGAGACAGAGAGAGAGAGAGGGAGAGAGAAAGTAAGAAAGCAAGCCACCAGGTCCAGGACTTGAACCATGGTCCAGCACGGGGCTTGAAGCCAGTGCCCGCACGGGTGTTTTTTTTTTTTTTTTTTTTTTTTAAGAAAAACGTTTTACCTAAATAGAACCAGTCAGACAAATCCAGATGTGGAACATTTTATAAGACAGCTGCCTGGATTCTTCAAAAATGTCAGGCCTATGAAATATGAAAAGGTAAAGAGAAGGGGCTGTCCTAGGTTAAAGGAAACATGACAGTTCAAATACATTTGTGATCCTCGATGAGATTCTGAATTTTAAAAAAAGAGTCATTTTTAGGACAATAAAAAAAATAATGAATGCTTACTATATATTAGGTAATAGTGTTGTACCGATGTGAAATTTCTTGGGTGTGATTGTATATTGTGGTTATATAACATAATGTCCTTTTTCTTAGGAGGCAAAGGCTGAAGTATTTATGGATAAAATAATACAATGTCTACAACTTAATTGTCAAATGATTTGATTCGCCAAAAGAAATGCAATGGGGTCAGCCAGTGGCATGGTGGTTAAGGTGACTGGATCTCACGTGGCCAACTGAGTAACTGGGGTCTCAGACCCAGTGGCTTGAAAAACACATTGAACAGGACCAGCAGTTGGCTTAATGGCTATGTCACTGGACTTCCATGTAGTCTGGACCTCAGTTCAAGTCCCAAACCTGGTGTCTTAAACTCATGCTGGGTGCGTGTGCATGTGTGCCCAAGATCCCAAGAGAATGGAGGAGAAGAGATTGCGTGAGGTGTGGCTATCCCCCCTGGGGGGTGATTCCCTTTTCTGTTTTTCTGGCAAGAGCATGCGCCCCATAGCAAAAACCCCCCCCCCCGCAAAAAAAAAAAAAAAAAAAATTGAGCATGTGTTTATGCGTAAACCAAAATCCTGACATGAGGGAGAAATGGAAAAGAGATTGTAGTATAACCATCCCTTTCCTACCTCAGGGGAGTGCTTTCTTTTTTCTTTCTTTTTTCTTTTTATTTATTATTATTATTATTCTTTTGAGAGGCTTTTGCTATAGGGCGCATGTGCTTGCCAGACAGACAGAGAGAGAGACAGAGAGACAGAAAACAGGAAATCACCCCCCCAGGGGGATGTCCACGCCGCAATCCCTTCTCCTCCATTCTCCTCTCGGGATCTTAGGCACACACGCACACGCGCCCAGCATGAGTTTTAAGCCACTGGGTCCAGGACACAAACCGTGGTCGACTATGTGGGATTCCAGAGACATAGCCAATACACTAACTGCTGGTCTCTATTATTTTTTTTTAATTTGACCAAGAGAGATTGAGAAAGCAAGCTGCCAGGTCTGGGACTCAAACCACAGTTGGCCACGTGGGAGTCCAGCGCCTTAACCACCAGACCACCTGCTGGCCCTTGTTTTTTATTCTATCACTTTCCCCCTTTCTCTGTCTCTGTCTGTCTCTGTTGAGTGCACCCATCCTCTGGCAAAATTTTAAAAATAAATAGATAAAAAAGAGGGAAATAAATAAAACATCTGTGTATAGAGAAGAGAAAGCAGATGTGGCATGATATTAACAACTGGGGAATCTAGGTGAAGGGTATTCATTGTACTGTTCTAACTTTTCTGTAGGGTTGGAAATTTTCAACAGAAAAGTTGTGGCTGCTCACCGACTATATGTTGACCGTGTGTGTTCTGCAGTCCTGCACCAACGGCCCGCTAACGGAGGCTCTAACGTGACTCCTGTAGTTTGTGCCTACAGATCAGTTCAGGCATTTCAGAAACGAGGCAGGATGACTACCCTCCTCAAAGTATAATCCTCCACTTTCAGTTTTCCAGATTGTCTGCAATATGATTGTACCACTTAAATAATAGGTTAAAATGCACACGCGCACACACACACACACACACACACACTGTAAATTCTTTTTAGAAGATGGCAGAAAATAGCAGTAAATTATTTAAGTAATATGAAAATGGTGAAGTGAATGGTAACTGGTTTAAGATAGGAAACCATGGCTATGGGCCTCAGTGGAGGAAACCAAAAGCTCGGACTTAGTGGTGTGTTCTTTGTGCACAGATGACCATAGGTGCTCACTTAACAAGCAGGCAAGCCTTGTGAGCTGGGTATCAGGTTTTA